GGTACTGGGAATCGAACTTGTGCTTGCCAGGTAGGCACTGTGCCACTGAGTTATATCCCCAGCCTTAGAATACAGTTTGAGATAGATGAATTTAGTTAGTAGGACAAGATAATATTAAGGTTCTAAGGGTTTGTGTTCATTGAACCATAGCTGCCATTATCCTGAATGATAAATGTTGGCCCATTTAAAAGTTTGGAAGTTTATATATTGTGATATATAAGACTAGTGTTGACGAGAATTGAATTTTAATTGCATATGTACCATTTGTAGCTGTATGGCCCTGACTGTTGCCTAATGTGTATATGGAGAGGTCTCTGTCTTAATGTAAATAGTAATACAACTTGTATAAATCTTACACAATTGCCAGAAAAATCCATTGAACAATGTGAAAAATTAAAAATGCTCTCTGTGGAATGTATACTTATACTTTAGGAAGAACAATTGTAGAAGTGATGAATGCAGAAAAGAGCCACGTAGAGGATGAAGTAACTTACTATGAAAAGATATTTCTGTTTTTTGTTGATACACAGTTTTATTGTATCATTTGCTTAGCAATAGATTTACTGAATTAATTGGATCATAGTAGAGATAAATAGTTGTAATTGCTACATATTTTTAAAAAGTATTTGTACCATTTTATTCTTTCAAAAAAAAAAAAAAAAGCATCCTGGATCTCCTATCAATAGCCCATTATTGTCATGATTCTGGTAGATGTGAGCTAGTTCTCATTATATTTGTCATTGTTTGCTTTTGCTGTGTTGCCCGGGCAAACTTAGAACTTGTGATATTCCTGATCCCACCTCCTTAGTTGCTGGGACTATAGACATGAACCACACCACTCACATCTCTTTATACTCATTTGTAGTGCAAATTTTATAAGTATTTACCTTATGGCTTATGATAGTGGGTACCTTTTCATGTGATTCTTACTATCTTTATGAAGTTTCTATTCAAACCTTTGACCATTTAGAAAAATTGGGTATTTGTTTTATTAAGATGAAATAGTTCTTTAAATATCCTAGTTACTAGTGATTTTTAAAAATTTTATTTTAAAGAGAATAAAACACAATAAAACATCAAAAGAAACCCATGTAAGAGACACAAGACTTCAAAACATTATGAAATCAACAAAAGTTACCATAATGCCCCTTGACATCTTCAAAATAGCTTCAGATAACTTCAAACATAGTAAAAACCATACAGAACAGAAGAGAATAGAAACAATAAAAAACAAAACAATGAATGCAGTAAAGGACTTCAAAACAAGCCAATAGGAAATCCAAAATTGCTACCATAATATATCTTGCTATCTAGAGATAGCTGCTCTTGCCATTGTATTTAACATAATCAAACTAAACAAAGAGAATAAAGCCCAACCCAACAAAACAATGGAAATGATATAGGACTTTAAAATGAGACCATAGGAATCAACAATGGCTACAACCCTCAAAACGATATGCCCCCCTTAGATGCCACACTGTGTACCACTACCTCTGAACCTATGATCAGACCACTGGCCCTAGACCTGCAATGTTAGTGAAACACCAAGGCACCATAGGCATCCAATTGCATTTGACTTTGATAGCTATCATCGTAGCCTGTGTTTCTCTGGTAAGCTAGTAGCTTATGGGTAGAAGGGGGAGGGGGAGTTGGTACTTTTTGTTTGCGAGCCCACTTGCTGGAAAGGGCTGGTGCCTATGTGTTCTCAGTCTGGTACCGCACATGGCACTGGTTCCCAGACTGGACTTGCTTGCTGCTGTAGCTTTTCTATCTCTACCCTGAGTCCCCAAATGTCACTGACAGGTGAGGAGAAGCTGGGCTCTGTCTGTTCTAGTCTGGTGGGGCCTATGAATGGTGCTTGCTTGGGCTTGCTTGCTGGTGTGGCCTTGTTCCCTCTATTTCCAGTTTGTGAATGGTGCTGACTGATGGGGAGAGGCTGAGGTCTGTCTGTTCCTAGTCTGGTGGTGCCCTATGCATGGTGTTGGTTACCAGATTGGGCTTGTTTACTGCTGTGGCCTTGTTGTCTCTACCCTCAGTCCACAAATGGCACTTACAGGAAGAGGCTGGGATCTGTCTTTTTCCATTCTGGTGATGGCCTGTGTGATAGCTCGGACCCCGGAATAAAACCCAAGGAAGCAAGAAATTAAAATTTGGGGAGCAAAGGCTTTATTTTAGGCCAGGCCTGGCGTCACAGTCTCCAGGAGCCAATTTGGAGACTGCGTGCCTCACAGCTCAAGGCAGTGACTTATAAAGCAAAAAACCACAGGAATGCTGTTGCTATTGACACAATTAGATTGCAGCTGGCAGCTGGACCTTACAGAACTTTCTGTAATTTCCTGAGGTTAATCAATTCTTAAAGAACAGCAAGCACTTCTTTTGTAAAGAACAACACAATTAACACAGGAACTGATCCCTCAGGCCTTTTAGAAAATTGAAACTTAACCTAGTTAGATGTGAAGGGGGGAAGGGGAGGGGGAGCAGCACAGCGCTTTACAGAACAGGCTACATGGCGAAGCAGTTAGGGGGGGCTTAGGTTATAACAGCCTGCACGTGGACCTGTTTCCCAGACTGGGTTTGCTTGCTGGTGTGACCTTGTTCTCTCTATTCCCAGTCTGTGAATGGTGCTGACTCATGGGGAGAGTATGGGATCTGTCTGTTCCCAGTCCAGTAGCCTGCACAAGGTGCTGGTTCCCAGACTGGGTTTCCTTCCTGGTGTGGCCTTGTTCTCTTTACTCCCAGTCTGGGAATGCTGCTGACTCATGGGGAGAGGCTGAGTTCTGTGTCTTCCCAGTCTGGTGGCAGCCCACACATGGCACTGGTTCCCAGACTGGATTTGTTTCCTGGTGTGGCTTTCTTCTCCCTATCCCCCATCACAAATGGCGCTGGCTCACAGAGAGTCTGGAGTCTGTTTTTTTCCATTTAGCTGGTAGTCTGCACATGGCGCTGGTTCTCACACTGCGCTTGTTTCCTGATGTGGCCTTGTTCTCTCTACTGCCAGTCTGCAAATGGCCTACTAGTGCCTTTTTCAAATTAATTTTGGATATTTACTCCTACATTATGGCTGGATCACTCATTTTTCAAAATGATGTTTTACAAAGATTTTCATTTTTATCTATTGTAATATATCAATTGTTTTATTCCAACTAGTAGCAATATATATATCTTCATTCCCAATGAATTTACTTTGATATTGGAACTTTAACATATTTGTTAGTTAGGGCTATTCACCTATAACCTTGTGATCTCTTAAAATAAATCTTAATATCTTCCAGAAAATATAAAAACAAAGACTTCAGCATTTTACCTGCAATATCCAGTATAATTTGTGGCCTTGTTGAGTTATTTTTGGAGGATGGAAAGTGATAACAGATATGATTTATTTTGAGGGAAGGGAGAGAAGTTGTAAAATGAAGTTGGAAAACTTCCATTGCTAATGTTCATTTCTTTGCCTTCTTGTTTTCCATACTTGTCATTGCTATCCTTTTTCTTTCCCTTCTGTCATTCTCTGATGCAGGGATAACAGCTTCCAAGTCTCTCCAAATTTAACATTTTAGCAAGGGGTGACCATCTAGAATTAGTAATTTAGCTGAAATTGTATCTAAATTTTAAAGGCTACTCTAGATTCTAAGCTAAGTATGAATTTACATTATCCTTGAAAGAGCTATCATATATAAATAGTGATTATATCAACAGACTTACTTTGGCCAGTGTTTAACTTTTTTCTCTATTAGAGCAACAAAACGATTATTTCATAAAATATTCTTTGATTCATATCAACAATTGACTGAGGAGAATTATACTAGAATTTTAAGACAATGTTCCATAACATTATGGAAGTAAAAATTGGGGTGTAATATAAAATATTTTTGTTTCAATCTTTAAAGAACTTCTATGAACATTTATTTCATAAAGATAGAGGAACAACTAATGAATATAAGAACTAAACCAGGAATTTCAGGGCTGCTCATTGGCCCAGATTTGCCTGATAAGTTTGAGGTCTCAAATTTTATTGTTGGTACCAAAAAACAACAACAACAAAAAATATCTAGCAGTAGAAATGGAATGTGAGTTGTAGGTAGGATCCCATGACAAATACTGTCACTTAAATAAAAATAGTTTTGCAAGGATTAGAAAGACCAATATTCATTGTAGAATTAGAGTTTTTCTTGTCAAAAAATATCTACTTCAGTCCAATACCTGCTGTGTTTGCCAGATCTTATTTAGGAGACTTCTGGGTTATTCCAAATAGAGCAATTATCACTGGAATGTGTAGTAAAGGATACTGGTTAAAGCAATTATGTGTGGGAATTTTGTTCCCATTTAATTTATCATATCTTGGTAAGAATAACTGTGTCCCACAATCTACTTTTATTTTATCTACAGTGAGAAGTTTGTCTGCTTTATATAAAGTAACCAAGTGTGTGTGTGTGTGTGTGTGAGAGAGAGAGAGAGAGTGAGGGAGAGAGAGAGAGAGAGAGAGAGAGAGAGAGAGAGAGAGACTTTTGATATGGAATGTCAGTGTGGTTATGACAGGGATGTAACTACTTATAGAAAATTCAGTGTGTGTGTATGTATGTATGTGCGCATAAGCACGTGTGTGTTCCTGTGTGTGTGTGTGTGTGTGTGTGTGTGTGACTTTGAGCTCTATTAAGGCTATCTTTCTAGGTATTTTTGTGAGCTGAAGAGTCACATATATTCATGTTGCCCACTCAATGCCATGTTAATATTCACATGATCAAGAATGGAAACTAATGAGATTAAAGATATTTTTAATTCATAGTGCAATAGAATTTTTCCTTTGATTTTAGAATCCCAATTTTATTTTAGACTATTACTTTCTCTTATGTTAACCCCTTAATTTTATGAACTTTTGAGCTCTTGAGGCAGCAGTATCAGACAATAAAATGAATTTAAGAGTCAAGTATGGTTTGGTTGATGATGATTGCTGACTTAGTTTTTCACTGTTTTTTTTTTTTTTTCCTCTTATTTTATTTTTACAGAAGAAGCTATTATGGAGGCAACTGGGCCAGTTTTAGCTTCTCAGGCCTGTTATCCTGGATAAAGGAATATCAGGTAAAGTTCTTATCTGATCTCTTAATTTGCTAGGCTGTATTTTGTGTCATATAATCCCTGCTTTCAAGAAAATTCTAATCTTAATTAATATAGACTTGATACCTTATACACTCATTTGGCAAATATATACACAAATATATTTTTATCTAATGCTTTTCTGATGCCTTCATAATAATAGACATAAATTTTTAAAGGTAGATAAGTTGGCTAAAGACTAATTATATAAATTTGATCTTATTCCCTAGTTACTCTGTGTGCCTAAATATAAGGCAAGATTTTTTTCCTAACCCAATTATCTTTCACAAAAAGTATCCAATTTCTTATAAAGTTTCACAAATTGCTAATTACTCTTTTAAGTTATTATATTTTAAATAATATCAATGATGAAAAGCCCCACAACTGTTTGGGGAAGTTCATTTGAAATGATCTCAGTTAGTAGTGGCTTTTGCATATTCTTCTAGGCCACCTGAGAGAATCAATAAAAGGGAAAAAAAATAAAGGCAATATGGTAGGTTCTTAACCAAGCTTTTAGAGATCACTTATGTCATAATATGGAGAGTTGGTTATGTTAGTGTTTTCCAATTTTTATAACACAGACTTTAAAAAATTTCTTAATTTTGTATTAAAAGGTCACATGTGACGAAATGAAATTCCTGCTGTTAAGAACTTACGTGAAATCAGAAAGCACTTTCTTTAAAAATTTCAACTGTTTAGAAAGCAGAATGATATATTCCAGAAAACTGTATTTGACTAAAAATAAAGTTTTTTAAGCACTTGCATGCCAGTTATCATATTAAGCATTGTACTTATATTGGTTGATTTAGTGGTGTATATGACTGATGTTCAAGATATGGTGAAATTACAGTCTGAATACCATTGTGTGAAATGAGTATGGAGTAATACATGGAATTTGTAAAGTAACACTTCATAATAATTCAATATATTTGTAAATCAGGATAGATAAAACTGGACATGTAGCTGTTTTATTTATGTGTCTAAAATACTCATATATTTAAATTGATCAGAAATTGCTTTGGACCTTACCTTTATCACACATGTGAAAGTCATCTTATGTTTATACATATTTAGTACTTTCATGAGAAAAACCACTAGTTATCAGAACAGCAAGTACAACAGCCACAACAAATAGCAGCCCAGTTGACTAAATGAAAAACTTGGGTAAAAGCATTTTTAGAACTAACTTTTTAATAGGTTACATTTATTTAAATCCAAATGTATTTGTAGAATAACCTTTTGTTTCAATGCTTGTTTTACTTCAGAATCTTGATTCTTTCACTATATCTTTTTCTCCTTTACTTTCCCTTCTTGATCCACCGTTCTTTACTTGGGATGGAAATCACATTTGAAGTTGTGATATACCTTCCCTTTTACTTATGTCAGGATATTTAGTATTATCTAATATCACACTTTATAGTAATAGCTTTCTGAAACTAGTTTTCTTCATATTAAGATAGGAAATTTATCATAGCAAAGCCGTTTGAAACTACTAACCTACTTTTGAAATTTTAAGTTTAGAAATTTTCTGATATGAACTTAACACAAGTGATAATACTGTTTATATTTTACTCCTAGTTCATTGAATATATATAAAATTTCACAATTTTAAAAATTTTCTCTGGCCACGTATAGTGCCACACACCTGTAATTCCAGCACTCTGAAAGGGTAAGGCAGGAGGACTGAAATTCAATCTTAGCCTGGTCAATTTAGTGACTTAGCAGGGCCCTGTCTCAAAATAAGAAGAGTCAGCAATGAATGCAGTTGAGTGTGAAGGCTCTAAGTTCAATCCCTAGTACAAAAATAATGTCCTCTCTGAAGAATATATGTATCAAGCAACTTAAAATTTTAAACAGATTAAAAATTGATCCTAGATATTTGGACAAATCATATGTTGATGTCTTAAAAAACCTCCTGTATACAAATACTTCTATATCATGAAATTTCCTCCAAAAAATGTATGTAGTTAAGAATTAATGCAAATCTTATGGGAACACTTTCAATCCTTCGTAGTTTGCATGCTTTATTATACATTGTTGTTTTTATCGCCTTTTTTGAGTATAAGATATTTAGACCTGGTTATTATAGAGTCCTTATTTATGTTATTCTGAGTACTTTTCAAAAATACATATATACATTACAAATTTGACATGTTTAGTGACTATTCTTTAAAGATCTAAAGTAAATTGAATGAAGGAAGTCATTTTGACCCAGCTGTTTCTTAAACTAAAATAAAATTGTTCTGGTAACAAGAAATTGATAATGGGTATGCTTGTTTCTCAGGAAATAGAAGGATGTTTGTACTGGTTCTTAAGCATTATCAAAACATCAATGTCCAAATGACTCAAAATATCACAATTTTGATAGAAATCTATTATAAGGCTAGTTTTTAATAGCACAGATTTTTCATATTGCTTCCCTCTCCTTCCTTTAAAGTTGACACACTGTTTGAATTACTTAAATGACTCTGAAGTTATAAGCCTTTTTGAGGTTTAAAGTGTTTAAAGGAAAAACATGTGTTTAGACAAGAGAAATTTTATTACAAAGTTAGGGATTCTGATTGCTCAATTTAATTAAAACTTTGTGTACTACTCAGGAAAACAATGACATTGTAATTGAAAGTTCCATATGGAAAGAACAGATCCTTGAAAACGAAGAAGCCATTGTTCTTAGTAGGAAGAACAGGACAATTCAAAATGTGGAAGTATTTTGTTATGCCAGGTATGAAAATTATTTATTTAGGATAAAGTAACGACTTCTTTTTGACATCTACTCAGAAAAAGCCAGCAGTAAAAATTTGATGGTGGTTATTAATCAAACTGGTTTAATGATTTTGGTATAGAATCTTTGATAGTGTCAGAGCTTATGTAACTTGCCAAAAGTTATATGAATTGCTGGAGCCCAGTATTCTTTATTCCTACTTCAGTGTCCTTCTAAGTACACCATCCTTCTTGCATAATAGTGTAGCAAAATTGAAGACTATAATTTTCCATTTAAAAATTAAATTCAGTGGTTATAGTCTGAAACATGCTCAAAATATGATGAGTATTTAAATTAAAAATTATTTAGTAAGAAACATATTTCCATTAATCTCCCTCAAAATGCTCCCCTTAACTTCCAACAAACTAATCTCATTGTTCTTGGCACGTTCTAAAATGTCTTTAATTGCACAGTCCTTACTGCCTTGATGTACTATATCAATTTGAAATGTTTGCCTTTCATGGTAATATTGATTTTGGGGAAAACACAGATGTCATATGGTACCAGATTTGGTAAATAAAGTGAATTAAGACATACTGTAATTTTGCATGCCACTTGCAACAGCATTTACTGAATTTTGTTTCCATACTTGAAAAACAGTAAGAGATGTCCCCACTTTTTGCTTTTGTTTTATGACTAGTTAAACATGAAGGGTTACAACTCAGTGGTGGTGAACCTATGGCACTTTTGCTGCTGTGGACTATTTGTATCATTGAAAGCTCTACAAGGTTCACCAGACAAAAGTCTCCCTGAGCTCTAATCTGCTATTTTAGGTACTAGGTGTTAAACTAACAAAAGAAAATATTGTATCAGCAAGTCGTGAGCAGTCATTAGGCTATTCAGTATGGTAGAAAAGGACTTTCCACAACAGGAGAGCCCTCCATGCATCTTCATATTATGTCACAGTGTCTTAAAGTAAAAGCTAAATTATATTTTCAGTCCTCTACTTGAAAAATAGTAGGACTTAAACTACATTTTTGAAAGATGCATATTAGAAACAGTTGGAATAAAAATTATCAGGTTAAGAGCCAAACTTAGTTATCTAGAAAGTTTTATTTCTTTTAAAGTAATGGTAGTGTTATGTGGTAAAATTTTGATATTGAAGGATACCTCACAAAATCTGCATTAATACCCCTTTATGAACAGTGAAAAGTATTGGTACAAGTTCTTGACTCTTCCATTTTTGTGTTTTATTAATATCTGCGGATATATGGTTTGTGTCTATGTATTTAGTTCTACACAATTTTATCACACATAAAAATTTAGGTACCTACTCCCACAGTTATTACAAAATGGAACACTTCCCTTATCACAAGTAAGCTTCTTGTTTTATTTTTGTAACTATATCTCATCTTTTTGTTTCTGTTTTCTCCCTCGCAGCAGACAATAACTCCTGGCAAGCAGTAATCTTTTTTTTAACTCTAGACTCTTTTTTTGAAACTATTATGCAGAGGGAACTATATGGTATGTAATCCTCTGGCATTGGCTTTTAAACAGCATAATTTTCTGGAGGCTCTTACATATTGTTGTGTACATCAAAGGTTTCTTCATTTTTTCTGCTGTCCGTTGTTTAATCATTCTTCAATTGAAAAACATCTGGGATTTTTTCCAGCTTTTGGTTGTTAAAAATAATGCTATGGTATGTTTTGTGTATAAGTTCTTATGTGAGCAATTTTCAAAAAAATGTTCCTCTGGGATAAAGATTTTGTATTCTTTTTTCTTTGTATAAATATCCAAATGTAAAATTGCTGTATCAAATGGTAATTGCATGTTTAGTACTTTTTTCTTGTTTTTTTAAATGCCATGCTGTTTTCCACAAGAGTTGCACTATTTTAAATTCCTACTTGATACATGTGAATAATAGAGTTTTTCCACATCTTCACCTGAATTTGATATTGCTACTTTTTAAAATTTTAGCTATTGTGATAGATGCGATAACTCTTTGTGATCCTAATATGTATTTCCCTAATGGCTGATTTTGAATATCTTTTAATGTACTTATTTAACATCTGTATACCATTTTTGTTGACATTTTTATTAATGCCTTTTACTATGTTTTTATTGGACTTTTTTACTATTCCTTTTAGACATCTTTATTCTAATTGTATGTCCTTTGCCAGATATGTGATTTGGTGAATATTTTTTCCAGTCTTTATTCTCTTTAAATAAGATACTTTGCAGAGCAAATGTTTTTCCTTCTAATAAAGTTTAGTTTACCTTTTTTTTTCCTTTTCTTTTATGGATTATGCTTTTGATGTCAACTCTGGTAACTTTTTTTGAGTTTAGATCCAGAAGATTTTTCCTATTCTTTTAGAAATGTTTTATAGTTTTATATTGTATATTTAAATTCATAGTTCACTTTCAGTAAAGTTTTGTAGAAAGTGTGAACTTTAGGTCTATGTTTTTTGCTCTCCCTTTCTTCAGGCCATCTAATTGCTTTAGCAACATTTGTTGAAAAGGCTATTGTATACTGGAGTGATTATCTTTACTGGGGTGGGTTCTTTATATTATTATTCTATTGATCTTTGTGTTTTTTATTCATTAATACTACACTGCCTTCATTACTGCAGCTATGTAATAAGCTCTGATAGCTAGTAGAATGGTTCCACTTAATGATTTTTTTTTTTGGTCAAGATTGTTTTAGATATTCTAGAGTTTATGCTTTTCCATATAAATGCTTTAATATGCCTGTCTATATTAACAACATTGGGGGAAATGTAATTGTTTTATATCAATAGATCAATTTAGAGCAGAATTGATACCTTTGTTATTTTGAGTCTTCCACTCTATTAACAGGATATACGTCTCCATTTTTAGAAATTGTCTTTGATTCACTTCAGCAAAACTTAGCAGTTTTTAGCATCAAGATGCTGTGCATGTTTTGTTAATTATACAGTTGAATATTTTATTTTCTTTGGAACATTTGTAAATGTTGTTTTTAATTTTTGATTTCACACAAGCATTGCTATTATCTAGAAGTGCAACTGATTTTCATATGTTGATCTTGTATGTATCCTAAGATATTACTGCACTCTCCTATTTTGTAAATATTTTTGTTGTTTCCTTGTATTTCCTGTCTGGATAATACTTCTTCAATATATCAGTTTTCTGTCTTTCTATAAGCTGCTTTTTTAAAGGAAACTTTTTTTTTTTTTTTTTTTGGAGAATCATGTGTTTTCCACCCACAGCCACATATCACAGTTAACTATTTTTTCTACTTATCTTTAAGACTACTTAACGAACCTTTAATCAGAAAGGATGTTATTATCACATCCTTGAGACTTTATAGTTATTCACCAACTGTCCAATCATTTATGGTCTCTCACTTGTTAAAAACATTGTTCCAGTTCTTACACACTACTGTCTTAGCATTGACAGTTCAAATTAGCAATCTGGCTGAGTGACAAATTACCAGAATCTTATATTTTACCAGCCATTCACACTAAGCATCTACACTATTTAGTTGTATCAAGCAAGACAGATGGAGCTTCTACAATCCAAAGTGGTCCAAAATTCAAACCATTTTGAGATTCTACCAATGCAAAATTTTGCATCTAACTTTATGTAATAGGCTACAGTCAAAATGAGGGCTCACTAAAAGATACCGTGTAAAATTACCTTCAGGCCATGCATATATGGTATCAATTAAATATAAATGAATTTCATGCTTAGACTTTAATACTAGTCTTTACTTTCATGCCGAAGGTAGTCTTATTTTGTATATGAAAATATTCGAAGATCTGAGAAAAATCAAAATTCTGAAAAGATTACCTATCACAATCATTTCAGATAAGGGATATTGAACCTATAAAGAGATGTCAAGCTTGAATACTTGGTGCTGTCTCACTCTTATTCTCTCAGTCATTCACTCTCCCTCTATATGTGGCAAGTTACTAACACTTTATTCTGTGACAAATACATTATTCTGTGACAAATACATTAAAAAGTTGTTACTTTTTATTATTGCACATTTGCAATACAGAATAGCGATGTTCATTTGAGGAATTGGTATATTCATATAACATATCTTGATCATTCCAATCCTTTTTATTCTCAGCTCTCTTTTACTCTAACCTACCACTGATCCCCACCTCCAAGTGTCTACCTTCTCGTTTCTTGTCATCTCTCCTTTATTTTATTCATTCACTTATTTATAATTTAGGTTTCTTATGTAAGGTAAAATATTTGTTTACTTATTTTGTTTATCAGAAAGTTCTCAAGTTCCATCCATGTTTCTTACAATGACACAATATAATTCTTTGTGGCTGAATAATATTCCCCTATGCATATATGCCATCTTTTCTTTATTTATTTGTCCACTTATTCACACCTACACTGTTTCAAGAGCTTAGCTACTATGAATCATGCTGCTATAAATGTGGGAACGCAGATATCATTATAGTATGATGCCTCTTATTCTCCTGTGAATGTAGCTAGTGGGGGGGTAGTTAAGTAAAAAGGAATTTCTATTTTTAGTTTTTAATTTTTTGAGGAATTTCCATACAGTAAGTCCCCAACTTACAAACAAGTTCCATTTTCAGAGAACATTCGTAAGTCTGATTTGTTTATAAATTCAATAAAGTGTGTCTTATATACTTTTGAATACAAATATACAATGTGAAACATAAAAACAACACACACAAAACACTATACCATCTTGGTTACTTTTTACTCATTGTTGAGACAAAATACCCGATGCCCAAAGTTAGGGAAGGAATTTCTTATAGTTCTCGGGGTTTCAGTCCATACTCAGTTGGCTCTAAGGCACTTTGGCATGTCAGGGTAGCCATTCATGGCCTCTGCAAACAGCAAAAGTGAAAGCAAAGTTGAAAGACCCACTTTCTTCCCACCCTTACACAGGCCCTAGCCCTGGGTGGGTGAAACACAACCCTAATCCAAGCACTAGACAACCAACCAATCACAAATGCTAGATTCAGTCGCCCCCATGACTGAATGAGGCT